TTTGTTTCTTCGAATCAATTAGACGTTTGTGGTTGAAACCGGAAGAACAAAATGTTGAAAGCACCAAGCAAGTCCATGCTTTCCTCTCAGAGTTTTGTTTATTCACATCCCAGAAGGAGCTTTGCCTCTGCCCAGCTCTTGATTTCTTGGTGGATATGGATCTGAATAAAACCCTGCTGCACCCGAGGCCTCGTCATGGAGTCAAAGGTAGAATAGAACATTGACTTTGCTACTTTGGTATTGATTTTATAGCTTGGTTCATTCTGATCTCAAAATTGCTACTGTTATTGACCTTTTCCCCCTCCATAAAATAATATGGTTGTCTGTTTGAATTAAGTTTGATGTTCAAGAAATAAATGTGATCTTGTCATAAAATTGGAATCTTACTTGAAAACTTTCAGCTCAGAGTAATATTAAACATAATGCTTATTTTTAGTGCTTATAAACATAATGCTTAATTTTATTAGTCCCAGTGGTGAACCACAAAACGTTTGCTGGTTGCACAGGCACAGTAAGAAAGAGAATACTGCAGTTAATTATAAAGCATGTAATTATATGATATATGCTGGTGGCAAGCATTTAGAATATTCACTTTAAGCAGATGTTGACAGTGATGCTTACTTTGGTGTTAAAAAATATATATATAGTTTTTTTTTTTTATATATATATATATATATATTAAATTACCACACAAAAGAGGTGACAGGGTTGCAAATTTATCTTAAATAAAAAATTTAGCCATAGATTTTAAATTGTTTCAGTTGTCCTTACAATAACTTGATTGAGTTTAACAAATGTGGTAAACGCTAAAATATGTGTATTAACTTTAATATTAAATTACTGTCTTCTCACTATGTTGTGGAAGAAGTCTAAATGTTGCTGCATTAACAGAAAAGCCTTTCAAAATTAATTGTAAAAAGTAATCACTGAATCTACTTAAGAAAAGCGAGTAAACCTAACAGATTTTTACAAATTTGTTGAATTTACTTAATTACATTGTGTTATGTGAACTTTCAGGTGGATGCAATCGTAAAACTGAACAACTTTAGTAAACAGTACTTAAGAGCATCTAGTTTGTTGGATTAAAGGTATGTTTCCATTGTCTGGTGCAAAGAACAATGAATACCGTTTTAGAGTGAATACAATTTGAAATGGTTAAGGTTTTTTTTTTTACAGATAGGGTTCTGAATATTTTTTTCTTCAAGCTGTCAAATAACAGTAAGATTTCAGCTTTTTGGCTTGCCCACAAGCTGTTGCTGCCTCATAATCCAGTAGAGCCTTTCACAATCATCATATTTATATTAATAACTTCATATATTTACTGGATTTTGGTAATTGCAGCATATGACAAAAACATTAATGTGCTCTGCTACTCCTATTTTAATTTCTTCAATGTGTTGGGAGTCCCTGCAATGTGAACGTGTACAGGTGATTGGAGACGACATAAAACATTTTTTTTTTATATATTTTTATATATATACATTGAATTTATTTAATGCACGAGTTTCACAATTTGAGTTGAATTACTGAAATAAATGAACTTTTCCACGACATTCTAATTTATTGAGATGCAGCTGTATATATATATATATATATAAATTTCCCCAATCCTACTATGTGCCGTAATAACTCTAGACCAGTAGGTGGCGGAAGGTTGGTTTAAACAAAACATCCCCAGAAGAAGACAACAAACTGAATTTCAGAGTCGGATCATGTTTGAAATGTGGCTGCAAGATTAGGTAAGTTTTTGATGATGTACTTATAAACTATATTGTCACAGTGCGTGCTATAGTTTTTGAGGAAAAGAAAAGGCAGATTTTATTAGTTTTTACTGACGAGCATTACTGTAACC